AAGGTAAGGCCTTATGGACAACCCAAGGTTCTACTAAATTCAGAATGAATTGGGAAAGAAGTGCAATATATCACTTAAGTAGTAATCTTATCCAGTAAGAGACTGTAAATTCAAACCAAATGTTCAATAATAAATGCAACTTATATTTATGTAGGGCTATGTGACTGTAAAAAGCTTCCATATATAGTTTCTCATTTGATCATCCCAATAATTCTGAATCTGTAGTAGAAAGCAAACATTTGTAAGTTCATGTCAATGAAGAAAAATAAGGCTTAGCAAGATTTTGTGATTTGCTAAAGGTAACAAATGGCTCCAACAATAATGGGGTTTGAATGGGATCTTTTGATTTCAAATTCCAGGGTTAAGTCAACAACACAAGCACATGTTAGTCTTTTTTTTTTCATTTTAAAAACATTAAAAATTTTGAATCAAGGAAGAGGTATTTAAAAATTACATTTCTTCATTAACTATTTAAATAGTGACTACTATGTGCCAACCTCTGGGGAGTTAGAGATCAATTGGGCCATAACTTTAGGGAGCTCATATAAAGATATACAAACGCCCACAGGAAACTGTGCAGTGTGGCGTTGTGAGTTCTGTGGTTGATGCTCAGTTGCAAGGGAGGGTATTCAAAGTCTCCATAAAGGCAGAGACATTCGAGATGAATCTCAAAAGGAATGTAAGGTTTTCCCAAGCAAACAAGGCAGGAAACTGTGAGCTACCAGAGAATGGCTGGAGCACAGGATGCAAGGGAGGGAGGGACAAAGGATGAGGCTAACCAGCACTCACATTTAGTTTCTTGAATTCTGAATCCAGTGAATTTTCCTTGCTAAACCATAGTTATCTTTCATAAGAGCCAAAAATTATTTTTTAAAAGCAACATCAAAGTAACTATACAATATCTTTCCTAGACAGAAGGGAAAGAAAAGAATTCCCTGAATATAATGCTTCTATCCTATTTTCCTAAAAACTGATTCAATAAGTACGTGTTAAAAAAAAAAAGTACGTGTTAAGTCAGCACTATGACTTAGAGTTACAGAGTGATTTTAAAAAATAAACCATGAAGCTACCAAAAGAGAGAGAGAGAGAGAGAGAGAGAGAGAGAGAGAGAGAGAGAGAGAGAGAAAAGAAAAAAGGTAGGTGTGGCTGAGTCATAAAGTGCCTTTTTACCACTCTGAGAGTTTAAATTTTATCTTGAAGATAACAGCAAGTCACATTAAGCAGTATATAGATACCATCAGATTCGTACCCAAGATGAGCTCTGGGAAGGCAGAGGAGAATCCAGAAGGGAGGGGCAAGTGTTGAAAGAATTAAGATATAAAACCATACTTCAAACCAATGTACTAGACACTAGATAAATAGAAGTTATTCAGAAGTAATTTATCATGAAGGATCAATATATGAAACTGTATCTGAGGAATCAGCAAAGAAATATGCCAATTAGTTGGCTATGAGATCATAGAGTTCTGTAATCTATGAGACAGCGTTTGATTGATTGGGGACCCTCAGGAGATAGCACAGCAAGTGGGAGGTGTGCCCAGACAGATCCCCTTTGAGGACAGTTTTTGAGGAGTCACACCATTGGATGGGCTACTGGAAAATACAGATGTTATCTCTCCCTCCCACTTTTTTTTTTTTTTTTGGACAAAAGGCATATTTTGTCTTTGTTCTATTTGAAGATATATAACTCTTATTTTGAGGTTCTGTAGCCTGAAAAAAGAAAAAGCTGTTTAGAAGGACCTGTGCACTGGGTAGGTTCTTTTTCTTTTAGAAGGTCCTATGCACTAGATAGGTTCTTTTTCTTTCTCATGCCTAAGGAATGCCTAGTGGTAGAGGTAGATCTCATTCAGTGAGGGTCTGCTGTATATAGATTCTTCAAATGGTCATCCAAGGAAGAAACTGACGCCTTGCAATAAATGAGGAAGGTCAGGTTTATAGAGTTTCTTGTTCAAATATCTAGTAAGGGACAGTCTGAGAACCTAGAATTTAATCCTTGATTTCTGATACCCCAACCAAAACTTTTTTTAAAAGATTTTTTTTAGTTGTTGATGAATCTTTATTTTTTAATATTTGTATATGGTGCTGAGAATCGAACCCAGTGCCTCATGTATGCTAGGCAACCGCTTTACCACAGAGCCACAACCCCAGCCCTGCCAACCAGTACTTTTGTTTTGGTTTTACTTTTACTCCCACATAGTTGGGTTCTCGCTATGTGAGAATGCTCCCTACGGCCTCAGTGGGGCAAAGCACAGCTCTTCTCAGACCTTGCATGCTTTTCCATTTCTCCTCCTTCCACATCTCAACTTGAATGAGGTGTCCACAGAAAAGCCCTCCCCAAGCACCTAGCTAATTATCCCAGGTTATACTCCACACATTGCTTATTAAATAACGTTTACTCAGGCTCCTTGGAGGTGTGATCGATAACTGAAATTATTTGATCACACGTTTCTTATGTCACATGACTGAAATGTAAGTTCCTGTCAGGACGGCTGCATGCTACATTTTCTGTAACATCCCTAGCACTGAGAAGAGAACCTAGCACATAGCTGGTCCTCAGAAAATATTTGATGACTGACTGACCTGCTATCTTAGTAACAGCCACAAAGGTGTGTTGATCTGCAGAATGGATAGTGGATCTGGATAACGAATTCTATTTATGGCTTTATATTGTCTTGAAGACTATAGGTGATTGAATAACCTTTCTATATTAACATTTGTAAAATATCTGTAATTTCCAAGAAATTACTAGGAAAGAGCCAAATAACATGCATAAAGCACTTACATCTCTTCTAAACCCATACTAAATTTCACCTTCATCTTCAAAGTCATATTAGAATCAAGATAGAAGGGTAGTTCATTTTTCAAAACACAATTTCCTTTAATGGTAGGTCACAAATTGACTCAGATACTAATGAGTTTCAGACAAATAACTTTTGGCTACTGAACAAATCAGGAATAAAAGCAAGCACTGAATATTCACCAGCAGTTATTGCCTGACCATGATGCTCAGGTGCCCTCTAGTGTGTGTAGCTTTTCATCTCAGTTCCTTGCTTCACACATTGTGTGCTGGAGATCTTATTGTGTATTCAAAGTGCATTTTATTTATTCATTTTTATTGTAGTTATTAGCATCAAAGTGCATTTTAGTGTATAATCAAGAGATCTATAAAAACAGCAAAAAGACTGGAACAACTGAATTTAAACGTCAGCAGTTGTGTTTGGAGCCCTGGTGTATAATCAAAAATGCAAGATGGGTCGATCCAATGCAGTCAGGGGATGTGATGCTATTTGGGTTACTACAAAATTGTGTATTGTAAAAGCTTCTTTCCCTATTTTTACTGTTATTTTTCTATTTAATTTTTAAAAGTTTGCACATAGATATGGTTGAAAAATAAGCGATTTGAAAGTTATAAATTGAAAAGCTGTGTTCCCAGGCAGTCCCACTCAACCCATTGCACTTAACCACCTACTTATATAGTCTTCGACAAGTTGTTATAAATGTCAAGCAAATAGACATATATTTTTCTTCTCTAATTTTTAAATATTGTACATATGCTGGAGAGTGGTATTGGCCAAATTATATTGTTATACTGTGTGCATGTATAAATATGTAAAACAAATCTCATCAATATGTACAACTATGATGCACTGACAAAAATGTGGAAAAAATACTGCACACACTGTTCTACACCTTGAATTTTTCTTAATAACAAATCTTGTTAAATTACTTATAAGAGTTGATGGAAGATAATCTCATTTTTTTTGACAGCTAGAGTATACTTTTTTGTGTGGATGTACCATAAGTTAACTACTTTCCAATTGACAGATACTTTGGATGACTTCCAATCTTTTGCTGTTACAAATAAAGCTGAGGGTTGTGGCCTGGCTCAGTGGGCAGAGCACTTGCTTAGCATGCATGAGGCACTGAGTTTGATCCCTGGCACCACATAAAAATATACAAATAAAATAAATGTAAAAACAAAACAAAACAAATAAAGCTGAAGTTAATGATATTGTACAGGTATGATGTGTAATATTCAGTTAAGGGTAACTGGTATCGCTCTGATATTTATTTCTCTATATTGGAAACAGTGTTAGTCAGTTTTCTGTTGCTGTAACAAAATACCTGAGATAATCAACTTATAATAAAGACAGACTTATTTTGGCTCACAGTTCCTGAGGTTTCAGTCCACGATTGATCGACCCTGTTGCTTTTGAGAAGCATAGCATGACATAGGGCATATGATAGAACAAAGTTGCTCTTCTCATGGTAGACAGGAAGCAAAAGAGACAAAGAGAAAAGGGCAGGGACTGTTCTTTTAAAGGATATGTCCCCTTGTTACCAGGATACCTCCCACTAGACCTCGCCTAGTTTCCACTCTCTCCCAATAAAGCTAAGCTGGAGACTAAGCATTTGGGGCCTTTGAAGGACATTTCTGATCCAAACTATAGCAGGAATATTCAAAATCCTCTCTACTATCTATTTTGAAATATTTACTTAATTCTTGTCAACACTGGTTATCCTATGGGACACAGCAGCAATCTGCTTTATCAAGTCTCCCAGATGACTCTGATATATACTAGTATTTGGAAGCCACTGCTCTAGACTAGCGATTCTCAGTCTTGGCTAAACATTAGGATCACCTAGGGAGTGCTAGAGCAGCACTGTCCAGGTGAATTTCATTAGGATTTCAGTTGTTAGCCTAGGACTCAGTATTTTGAAAATACTCCAGGTGATTCCCATGTGAAGCCAAGGCTGAGAACCACTCCCCTAGTCTATAAACCACTGAGGGCTTTGTTTTGCTTTTAAGAATCTGCAGAATAAGTCCCCTCACTCTAGGAGCATGGGCAGCATACAGAATGTAGTATGGAAGGTTTGTTAACCCCCAAGTTGGTACAATGACCTCATCATGCCCAAAGCAGGTATAGCCAGCCACTGAAAACAAATGCAAATTCCAGTTTGGTGTTTCCAGAAGAGAAGCTTAAGTAGCTACTACATACCTGCTCTGGGTGAGTTTCCCCTCTTTTTCTGTTGTGAAGTTGAAGATACGAGTCTGTTTTAGGAGAGGGTAATCCCAAAGTCAGCTTATTTTTTTCCACAAAATATTGCTTGGACTTCCTTCTCCGAGGGCCACGTGATCCTGGCAGGAAAACCTCGCTATGTGAACTTGAACTCTTCAGGTACTGAGAGAGTTTGCTTGACTTCTCCTCCATATCACTACTGCTTAGCTCTGAAAATGGCTCTTTGTGTTGGGCACCACTCTCATAGTTTGGGCTTAAAAATTCACTTCCAAGTAAGGAAGTTTCGCTCTGAGAGCTCTTTCTCTGTTTGCCTTTTCCCTCTGAGAGTTCCATTGAAGTCTCCTTGGAAGGGTAGAGTGGATCCAAGGGCAGATTTTCTGAAGAACTGGCTGCAGACTCTGGCAATGCTTCCACCCTCAACAACTGCCCTTCTTCCTTCTTGTTCTTCCAATTTGGGTCATAGCGGAGGTCTGAGTATTTGTCTTCTATAGGTTGTTGGCTGCCCAAAGCAGAAAAGAAATGGCAAGTCCTTAGTCCAGATAATTCACTCACTGTATTCAGTTGATCATTTCATTTGAAATTAATCTCAATCTTTCTCCTCTAATTTCCTTCTTACTGTGTATATGTTAAAGATATATCTCAGGCTCAGATTAGAACCATGCACTACACATAAGCACAAAAAGGTCTTAATTACTCAATTTCATTGAAATATGGAATAAAAATGGAAGACAATTCTAAATGCCTGAAAACAAAATGTCTTCCACATTAAGCAATAAATCACTATTGTTCAGAGAACACTCACTTATATACACAAAAATGATCCAGTATTTCAGCTAGTAAAGATAAAATCATAATTTAGCTGGTAATGCACACATTTGGCTATTCATCTAGGAAGGGAAATATGGATTGTTGCCTAGACATCATTTGTCTTAGCCTCCTCCCTTTGGGAGGAAAGCCAGAATTTATCTCAATTTAATATCTACGTAGGTTTATCCTTCTTCTCAGTAATTTTGCTTTCCATATCATATTGTGGATTTTATCAAATGTATTATAGAAAGATCACCATATCTTAGAATCAGAATGCGACTCACTGAAATGTTCATAGTCTCTTCCTTGTCAGGTCTGTGCCCACAAAACTCAGTAGACATGTCAGTGTGTACTTGATGCTATAGGATGGCCCTATCTGAATGAAAGGTTAAGCATAAGGTCTTGCCAGTGGGAAGAACTAGTTCTTAATGCGTGCAGATGACCCCAAATAAAGTCCTCCCTTTTCTCCATGACAATCTCAATTTGTAAAGTATCCTCTAGTCTTAACCAAAAAAGAAAAAAAAATGCTGGTAATATGGCATATTTAATGGCCTCTTTGATCTTCAAAAGCTAAATGGGAGAGATTTTCCTTCCTTGAGTACAGTGGATGCAATCCTGTAATCAAAAAGAAAATGTAAATCACTCCAGCTTTTTATGCTATTTGATATTCCCGTTTACAGAGGATGTAATTTTATGCTGGGTAAACAAACTAATGGTCCCCCTGATACTAATTTACTCTTCTTAATGTGAACTTTGATTTGGTGGAAAGCAAAAACTGAAGGAAAAGCCAAAATTCCCATGTCTTGCTAAATTGTCACTTTGAATTTTTTGGTTTGCATATTAGGATGGAAAACTTTTTGAAATAGTCCTCTAGCAAAATGTTTGAGAGGGAATGATCCATTCTTCAGGAAATGGGATGTCAAACTGTGTCCCACTATGTCCTGAGCATTACAGGATGACCTGCCCCCAGGCTTTGAAGGGGTGGTTTCTCCTGGGTGCCATCCCTATGAACTCGCAGTGTTTCTTGGCCTGGCCTGGCCTGTCACCTGGATATTTAAGAGTTGGCACAGGCACATGGACAATGGCATGGTCCAGCAGAGACCAAACTGGACTTGGACCAGACACTGGTGGCTCAAGTTCTGGATGTGCCCCTACCTCTTATGTGTCAGTTGCCAATTCATGTCATCTTGGAGCCAGTTTCTTTCATCTCTGAGAAGTTATATTCATTTTGTTTTGTTTATTTCTTAAGAATGCATAAGGATCAACAGTGTCTCTTACAGGGCTCTGTGTTTCTGGTAAACTTGTCTCCTCACCTAGGGGAAGATCAGGGAAGCAGGACCTATTGGTTATCTTCCTTTTCTTGTCTCTGCCCCAGTATGTTGCACCATGCCACGGACATAAGAATTCTAGAATAAATAATTGCATCTCTAAAAATACTCTAGTCAGCCCAAATAAGCATTACATATTTATTTTTTAAAACCAATAGTAATAAATTAGAATCTAAACATGCAGGAGCTTCTTGCATTGGGCCAAATTAGTGAATGACTTTAGAACTTATCTTGCACTGAGCAAAACACAAAGTTCGTCTTTGGCTGTTTAGCAGATGTGAGGGTGATCTGGCTGTAACACCTGACACTCCACTGATTGGCAAGGTTGATTTGGCCAAACTGGCTGGCCAAGTAGGTGTCCCCTTCCTTTCTCACCACTCCAGGTATAGCCCTTCCAATGCATGTGCTCCACTGAAGAGGATGACCTTCCCACTAGAGGAGGCCAGTTCTTTTGTCAGGGGTATATGAACCCTGCTAGAACCTCCAAAGAGGCTCTCAACTGTGGTCATTTAGGTACAGAAGAAAACTCAATTATTATCTTCAGGTGAATAAAAAAATTTTAATAAAGAAATGTGCTATTTGCCCATGTCCATACTATAATGAAAGGAAAAACTGAATTTGACTCTACTCTTTATTCATTAGGAAACTCATGAATTCAGTAAATACTTACTTATTAAGCACTTGCTAAGCTAGGGGATATGGAGGTAAATGGCACAGTGCTGGACTCACAGACCGGAATGGGTAGAGACAAGCTAACAAGCAGCTTACAATGTGGAGGGATGCCTGCAATGATGAGAGGCATGGGGCCATCAAGTCTCAGGAAATTGGGGAGAACTTTCAGGAGGAAGCGATGGCACTGCTGAGACCTAAGGCTAATGAAGCATGTGCTAGGCTGAGGGAACAACATGTAAAATGGAATGGAGGGGAGAGAGAATCTGGTGTTTTCCAAGAACAACTTCTGAATGAATAAAGTGGAGGGTGTTGGGAAGGAAGGCTGAAGAACACAGCTCAAGGTCAAGCAGAGGTTGGATATTGAATGACTTTGCAAACTCTATGAAAGCATCTGGGCTCCATAAATTGATTTGTAAGTTTAGTTGGAGAGAAGAGATTTTAGAAAACATTTCTGGACAACCAAAGCATTGAGTTTCTGGTATACACCAGTCCTCTAGTTTTCACTGCTTAGAACAAGGATGGCCACCTCTCAAGGTGACAACCCTGGGCATCACTGTTCTGCTACTCAGTAGGGAGTGGGATGTAGAAAGACAGCACATTACATTGTATGTTGATCTCAAGGAATGCTTGCAGTAAATCTCTAATTTTTGCCTTAGAACAACTTGAGGGAAGTATAGTACTATTATTATTATCCTCATTTAATTGATGAATAAACTAAGGCTGATAGAGCTTTTCTAAGTCTCCCAAGGCCACAGAGCAAAGGAGTGGTAGAGCCAGGATACAGACCCTGGCTCTGGTTCCTGGCTCTTGTCCATTAAATAGCAATGGATGCCACAGCATCTCCCATAGGTGGGCGTGAAGCAAACTTGGTGCAGTGTCTGCCTTGGGTGAGTCAGAGAATTACTCAGTAGGCCAGTAATAGATATCTGTGGAGGACCTCCCTGTGTATAGGAAGAATGTTAGGCACAAAAGATAAAGCAGTACATAAAAGAGAAGAAGGCTGATGGATCCTCCCCTTCAGTGAGGAGGACAGGGTTTATGCACCAACTGTAATGAATGAGGAAAGATTTAAACAAGATGCTGTAAGTATTTCCAATAGGAAGACAAGGCTGGCTACAGAGCTCACTGGTAGAACATTTGCTTAGTATGCATGAGGGCTTGGGTTCCATCTGCAGCACTATAACAACAACAACAACAATAATAATAAATAAAAATAAAATAGGAGGAAATAACCTTGTTTATCACTGAAAATGTTAACCTCCTATTTCTAGATTCAATTGCTAGATGATATCTCAAGTCCATTCCAAATCCATTGTTCTATAATTCTATGATAGACTGACAAGATAATCAATAACTGAGTAATGTCCACTATTTTTTCAATAAGTAATTGCCATAGTGTGAATTTAAAGTGTCTCTCAAAGGCCCACAGGGTGAAGGCTTGGTTGCCAGCCTGTGACATTATTGGAAGGTGGTGGAGCCTCTAAGAGGTGTGGCCTAGAGGAAGGAAGTTAGGTCACTGGGTATGTGCTCTAGAAGGGGATATTGGGACCCTGCTCCTTCGTCTCTCTCTGCCTCCTGGCTGTCATGATATGAACAGGGATCCTCCACTGCGTGCTCCTGCCATGAGGCACTGTCCCTCCACAGAGCCAAAGCAACAGGGCCAAATGACTGAACTGAAGCCTCTAAAAGTATGAATCAATAAATCTTTCCTTCTTATAAGTTGTTTATGTCAGGTATTTTGTCACAGTGATAGAAAGCTGACTAACAGTAACTTTCAACAGTTGAAGGAAATGGATTTCTGATTTTCTCATCTGCAGTTACACCAAAATTAATATACTGAGACTAGTCATCATATTTTACCAGTATCAGCAGAAAATGGCATCATGTCTACAGACATGGCTAAAGACTTTCCTCGATCACATGCAATGATCATGGTGCTTTGTTTCTATGAATGATGACATGGAATATTGTGGTTCTGAGAAATGGTTCAGCAGAGTGTCAAAGGACAAGCGTCCTAGAATCAGCTGCCTACACTGAATTCCTGGTGTCACCAGTTGCTGTGTGAACATGGGAAAGTTATTTAATTAACTTCTGTATTTGCACTGAGTCACAGTCAGTAAGGGCTAGCTATGAAAGCACCTGTCAGTGAGCTGTTATGGGTCTCTGCTTGCTGCGTGACATTCAGACACCATAGCATGGCTTTGTTGTTGTGTACTGTGCTTCCTGCTGATGGATCTCCAGGGATCCTTCTCTCCCCAAGGCTTCAGGTATTTCCAGGGAACAAAGCTATCTTGTGATGCTATAAGTGTTACTCTAGTAGCCTGAAAAAATTAACACCCATCATTAAAAATCCATTTTTTTAGTTGTGACTTAGGCACTGTGGAAGATGTCTGAATCATAATTTAGGACTTGGGATTGAGAAATGTTAGTGTTTCCATGAGGCAAAACATTTTGACAGCTGCTGAAAGGTGATGAAGATGAAGCTGGGAGAATTAAATTATCTTAGAATTTTCAAAAAAGTTGTAGTCTCTAACCTCAATAGATTTCCTTTCTCAAGTGGCTATAGAAGCAATATCACATGCTATAGAAGACTAATGTTTTAAGCGGAACCTGGAAAATACAGAGGGTTTGGAAACAAACCTGGTTGAGATACATGTTTTTGAACAAGTGTTTTGGAAAAGAAACTTTAAAA